CAATTTCTTTATCGATTTTCTCTTTAAGTTCATTAGGATGATCGTCCGCGGATTTCAAATTATTACATTGAATTGGTAATCTAGGCCCATGATAATGAAGTTTAAACCCTTGAGAGAACCCTTGGATTAGGCGATTTGCTATGATTCTGTTAGGATAGTGGACGAGACATTTTTTAAGGGCGTGTACATTAATAGGCGTTGAACCTAGACGCCATAGATTGCGGGGTGAGGAATCTTGGTCTTGAGTAGGTGGGGCGCTGGGTGTTGCTGCTGGAATACCCCCTATAATTGGTATTTGCATTGGTTGAATACCCCTTATAGTTGGTATTTGCATTGGTGGTTTGTGGAAAGAACTTGACTGTCCATAGAATTGACCACTTGAATTTTGTTGGCGAAATATTTGTGCGGAAAGTGTTTGAGGCTTGTGTAAGGCAATGTATCTGTTTTACTACCACATCGAATACAACTGTGTTTATACATGCATGGGAATTTGTCACAAGATCCCTTGTAATTGAAATTGAAGCATTTATCATTATTGGTTTTGGGTGCATTTGTTACGTTATAAGCGGGCCAGAATGCATATACATCAACCATAATTCCGAGTCAATTTCACCCCAAGAAGACACAGGATTTTGCTCTTTGCGCAGCCTAAACTGCGTATCATATTCTTTCCAAGATATAGCCCCCCTGCTAACACCCATTCTTACGGTCTGTATGTACTTAAGTAGGTCAAGAGTCTTGGCGGGATGTGCACTCAAGTACACACTTGCAAATATGAGCATAAGGTCAGTCCATTGCTCAATATTTTCTACCTTTTTTGGGTTGGCATCTTTATAAATTATCTCACCCATACTATTCATAACTAATTTCTTTTCATCAGACCCTGATTTTGGTGTTAAAATGTGGCCAAATCAATATACTGCCCACTAATAATACGTTGTTTGACTGTGCTAGAAACATTCATACCAATCATATGTATTGATGGGACAGGAGCAGGGGTGGTACCAACATCTGTTGGAGTTGAGATTGTTGCTCCAGAGGTGGTCGGTGCAAAGGATGGCCCTGCACTTGTCGTCAACATGGGTTGCGCTTCCGCCACAACGGAAGTTGATGGAGCCTGGGTCGGTGGTATTGGTACATGTACTGGACATCCTGCCGTACGCCGTCGATATATCTGTGTTCACAGACACCGTAGCCTGACTACCACTTGGCTGCTGTGTGGCAGTCGCTGCTGGTTGAGCCATTCTACGCTTCTTAGCTCTCGGTGGCATCGTGTTCAGAAAAGAAAAGAAAATTCTTTATTTATATATATATATATATTATTTTTTATATTTGTAAGAAGAAATTTAAATTAATTATCTCCTCATTCTCACATGCCTTATTATTTCTTTTTATAAAGTTAGCCTAATTTTTTATTTATTTATTTATTTATTAAATTTTTTATTATTATTATTATTATTATTTTTATTTATTTATTTTATTTTATTTTATTTTTTTTTTTTTTTTTTATCTCCCCTTGGTATGGAAATCTGAAACGTGTCGGATCAATTTATAAAACAAAGAAAATTTAATTAAGCCAAAGCAATATGATATAAATCCTAACGATCAAGATAATTGACTTAATAATCATTATATCTTATCACATACTTACATCATATAATCTGTTTTAATGAAAACTTATATAGATACAACGTGGTCGGCTAATACAAAATGGCCACAACAGACGCTAGAAAAAAATTATCATTATAAAATCAAGGATCATCGGGAAATCATGAAAAAATACTCCTAAATTGATTGCAGCAAACAACTACCAAATAGATAACAAAAACATCCATAGAATTATACCCATTAACTATTTTTCTAAATATCTAAATTTGCAAAAAATTATCCTTTAAAATTGCACCAACCTCATTCATATAGTCTGTGAATGAAAAAGGATTAACGGAAGTTGACTCAGGGGGAATAACTCTAATTGATTATAGGGATTATAGGCGGATCTATGGATTTTGTAATATGGGAAATTAACACTTTCTTCGATAAAAGCCTCCAATTCGAATAGAATTGGATGTGATAAAAACTGGACGTAAAAAATGAGGCATTAGACATAGATAATAAAGGAACTAGACATAAAATAATGAGGAGCTAGACATGAAATGATGCAGAACTAGACTTGAAATTAAGAGGAACTAAATATGAAATAATGAGGAGCTAGACATAAATAGTGAGGAACTAGACATATTAAATATTAATGAGGAACTAGACATAAATAATGGGGAACTGGATTTTAAAATGAGAAACTAGATATGAATAATGAGGTATTAGACATAAAAAATGAGGAACTAGCCATAATTAATGAAGAATTAGACATAAATATAGAAGAACTAAACATTAATGATGAGGAGCTGGACATAAATAATGAGGAATTAGGCATAAATTATAAAGAATTAGATATTAATAATGTGAAAATAGACATAAAGAGTTATTAGACATAAATAATGAGGAACTAGACATTAAATGGGTCTATGAGGAACTAAATAATAATGAAGGATTAATCATGATATTTAATGGAACTTGGATTTACATGTATGAGGACCTCTTTGTGACATAATGAGGCACTAAAAAAGTCGAAATATATTACAGAACTGGACATTAATAATGAGGAACTGGACATTAAATAAAAAGGATTTTTTAAGCATTTATGGCCATTCCACAATTTCAAAGTTTCTTATAACAAATTTCATTGTGGCCTGCATGCCAAATTTCAGGTATGAATTTTATACACTTTAATGATTTATTGGGTAAAATAAAGATTAAGCTTTATTTATATCAATTGCCATAGTCATCTATCAAATGTAAGTTTTCTGTATATATCATAGAAAGGAATAGGATTTAATAATTTATTTCACCTCTTTCCAGAGTTACAATGTATTGGACAATTAATTTTGTTAGTTTAATAAAGTATTATTTTGTAATGATTAAATGTTCACTTAAAAAAAATGTTTGCTCACAGTTCTATGATCATCTTTTTAAAAAAATTTTACTCCAGTACAGTAAAACATGTTTAGTATGAACACGGATATTGCGAATTCATGGATATTATAGCGAAGTTATCTTGGATCCTCAGCTATATAAATTCAACCTACTCCTCATACGGATATAAAGTAATTTCATAAATCCCAGTGACTTCGTTATAACCAAGTTTTACTGTATCTGTTATTTGCACCTTAACTTATCAAGAAGTCTTTTCAAAGGTGATGTTATTTCTGCTTTTAAAAATGTATCTCAAGCACTATTTCATTCTGGTGAATTAAGTCAAAGTAAATTTGAGTATCTAACAATTTTCAACAAGTTTCACAGGAAATATTGCAGGCACACCTTCACAATAAAAACAAATTGTCCAATGTTCAGAAAAAAATAATTTAAATATAATTGAGACACTTTCCTGACCAAATTACCTCTTTTTTATGCTCATATACAAAGGATGTCTTCAATGAAAAAGTGATTTATGAGCCATCCCTTTAAAAGATAGTGACAGAAGATGTCAGGCAATTGGTGTTTTTATCTTAAATAAGTGTCTGATCGTAAAATAACAGGGTTTATTTGTCACAAATTTGCTGAAAAATGATTAGAAAATAAAAAAAAAAAGATTGAAGCAATATCTTAGACTCGTTGACAGGTGTTTTGTATTCTAGTCCATTGAACCAGATGCTTTTTAATATACAGGACTTGTGATTTGTCAGGACTGTACGTGAAAAAATGTGAAGCATATGAATGGAAATGATCCCTTGTTTTCAACCAAACACCACATATGGAAAAATGATCTTCCAATTTACATGCAAGACATGTTCAAGTGATTTAGAGTGGCAGGCTGCAAACACTCATTAGTATTCAAGAGCAGAGCTTACAGCAGAACTGATTCAAGTCATACAAGTTGTGTAAACTCCTTGGAATGTTTTTGGGCGATCCTTTAAAAAATCAACATTCAATCATTGTCTTTTTGCAAAAATAAAAAAAAGCATTAGTTATCAAAATTATGTTTCTTGTAAAATTAAAATGGATTTTTAGTAATGTCTTAATTCAAAGCCTGTAAATAGAGAATGAATACTGGTAACTGGTGCAGAAATGTTAATATTCAGGTAAATAAATGAAGTGCTTTCTAAATGGAAAGTGTAATGGATATTTTTAATTTGAAGGAAATCATTTTGAAATAACCTTTTCTAAGGAATTTCAAAATTCTGTTCATGTTTTGCTCTGATTCTTAAAGTCGACACTTGAATTGCTAAAGAGATTGAAATGGGTTTTTTTTATGTTGCTTCAACTTAATTAAAAGATAATTTGTTTCAAATGTTTCTTAGAGAATTTGGCCAGTGATTTAGTCTTTAAATTAAACCATTTTGGGGCTGGAAATCTGTTATAGTCAAAGGTTTTTGTTCAGTTGAAAATTGCATTCATTTCTTTGTTGATGACATATTCTTATGATATCATCTTCATACTTTACAAAAAAGTAGATAAGGATGATATTTTTGAACACAATTTGAGGGTTAACCTTAAAATTTGACCTTGACTTTAAATAAATGAAAAATGTATATCTGTTGAGGATGACCTTCAGCTTCTAATAATAAGCACACACAAATAAAACGAGATCACATACTTTACTGGGGTAAAGCGTAAATTAAAGAGTTTGTAGTTGGCCTTGACCTTTAGTTTAAGAATTTGGTTAATATGAAAAATGTATGTCTTTCCCAAAGGTTTTAAAGAAAGGACAGTGAACTTAAGGGATATAAGCAATTACATTTATATCAAAGCAGAATTGTAGGTCCTAGACCATTCACACTATACATACTGTATACTTTTTGGAAGGTCCTGCAGTGTCAAAAATAGGGCACTATACATGTACTGCTTTGAATGAGAAACAAGTTTAACCATTTATAAACATGTTTTTGCATTGATCACATTTTGAATTGTGTAAATTTTTGTAAAGTGTTAATTATTTTGTGTAGATTGAGAGGAGAGGGTGTGGAGAAGTCACCAGCCGTGAAGAGAGCCGAGAGACTGGTTCACGACATTGAGGAGGTCAAGGACAGATTACAACAGGAAGTCTCTGTAAGTATGCTTATCATCTCTGTTGCTTAAACTGAATTTGTCTAGCTAACATTACAGTACAAAAAATGTATCATGCAATTAAAGTGAATTCATGAAACTTAATGATGTAATTTATAAAATATTTATTTAATAACACAATTTATCTAATAGATAAATGGCAATAAAAGAAAAAACAAATTGTAGTTGATAATTTTAAAGTTCATGGATTTTCTTTAAACTGGATGTGAAACATGTCCTTAAATCTTTTTTTCATTTTTTCAAAACAGTGATGGGGTATGAATGATTTAGATTATGATGACCCAATTTCATCTCTTTTTTATTTATCGATATGCTATTAAAATGTCAATGCAATTCTAGAAAACATGTGCTCTGATTGAATTTTAAACTTTAAAAATCCAATTAATAGGTGATCAATTAAAACAAGGAAATACCTAGTTTATTCTATTATTCAATTACTAACTGATTTACTGTGATATGTGCTTCAATTGTCAGGTCATATTTGATCTCATTAAAATTTGTCAGAAAAGACCCAGCCCCATCCATACAAATTATGTCAGATGCAAATACCATGTCAGAAAGCAAAACAGCACACTGCCCTGGAGCAAGTTATTTTGGAAGCACAGATAAATGGAATTAATTTTAATGAAGTATCTTTTGTTGACAATTGACCAAGTTTCTGTATATATTCTGTGTCATTATCAGGGCTATAAAGTACGTAAATGGAAACTTTAGAGAACATAAATTTCAGATGGCATTCCTTGCAGGTCATTAACCGCAGCATTTCCAGGGTAGACAACTTGAAATTTTACTTTTACAGTAGGGTTCAATAAATAATGCAAAAGGCCATAAAGAATAAGAAAAACACCATAAATCATTAGGTTTTTTGCTGAATGTCTACAAAAATATCATGATTTGTTCAAGTCCTTGGAATTAATTTGAGCTAAAGCTGTGTCCACCATGGGCTTGAACATAACCCATGATATTTCTGTACACAGTACTAAAAAACTTTAAGGTGTTTTAATTTGTCGAGGACTAATAACATTAACAAAACCTACAAAAATCAATTTTTTTGTCTGCGAAATTCTCTTTCTCTTGTCATCTTGTTTACTGATTAGGTCACAGAAAAGGGGCACTACTCTAAATTCAATCACAATATTGACAAACTGGTAAGGAAGAATGAATTTATCAATTTTTTTAAAGGGAAAATAATCCTGGGCAGGCATAATTTTTCCTTATTTTATCTGCATTCTGCTGTCTTAATTTCACTTTTCACTATCCAAAAGAAACATATGACTTTCATTAAGCAATGGCAGACTGTCATTATAGTCTGAGCATAGCAAAATTGAACTTTAATGAGTTTCTTTAAATTTTCATTTTTCAGTTTTTTTTTTCAATGTGTTGATCTCACCATCTCTGGTGTTTTACTTGTGTACATAACAATGCTTCTACAAACTATATAGATCAAAAGGTCAGATGTCAAAGAAAAAAGAAATATTCACAGATCTTAATTTTAAGTCTGATCTCCGTCCTCATATCCGTGGGTGTAGAAATTGACCTATACATATTATTAGACCTCTAATGTGAAATAAAATTGAACTTGATTTTACATGTATTTCTTGAATTATAAAGGATATATTTTGAATTATAAGAGATAAATTTTCTTCATATGATTTCAAAAATGTATGTTAAATTAGTAAGAAATTTTCTTGTGATGTTGAGTTGACCTTCCATATGACTAATTTCACAATTTCTGCACCACATTTTAAAATAGAAGTATTTAAGGAGGCCTACATGTATATAAGGCTTGTATGTTTTGCTAACATGTTCGTATAATCCTTTCTTTTCAAAATGCTAATAATGATTTTTTTTAATTTTAGGATGGAGAAAAAGCATTAAAAGAACAGGAGGAAAAGAAAATCCAGGTAGTTCACATGTTATTCAATAAGTACATTAAGTACACATATTATTAAAATCGCACACTTTTCATGAGGACATTCTATAAAAAGTTGACCCTGATTTATTTTTGTGCTTTTCTATGTTGGAAATATTTTCAAATGACGTGATAAGAGTTTGAAATCAGCCGACTTCCTGATTTTCAACCAAATCTGACAGTGTCATTTAAATATCTGCTAATTGGTAAGGTGTCTGCCATCAGTCTTTTCCTCCAATCACTCTACAAGATACACAGATTTCATTCCTGTAAGACCAACTCTCATTTTAAGTTAGAAATTATATATTAAGTATAAAATTAATGGCATCTTAACTAATAGAAGCAAATCAGGTGCTGGACAAGTAAAAAAAAAAGAGAGAGAACTCTTTTTAAAAAGCTTTTGTCTTTCGAAATTTTTTCTATGTATACTCTTAGAAAAAGAGGCCTCTAAGCGTTTGGTCAAAGTACAGTGTAATGGGTATAAAATCTCCATGAATAAAAATGATTTAGGAATGCATCTTGTTTTAATTGGTTGCATATAAATGTATAATGATATCAAAACAGAATGAATCCCCTGTCATGATCAAGCAGATTAACAGCTGTTACAGAAAATGCACAGAAATACTTGTTATATGCTTCATTTGTTATAACTTGTTTAAAGAATGAGTGAAACCATGACTGGTTTATAAATCACATCTATTAAATACATACTCTGTTATTTAGTTTTCAAATGTGTGGATCAGCATGTACATGTAAATATACAGTTCAAATGACCGGATAATTTTTGAAATATTTTGTGACCTTCTCATAATAGAGCTTTCATCGATATTCTTTTTCATTAAACTAGGATATGAAATTTGATGTAAAGAAGATAGAGCAACTTCATGGGCCATCCCCACTGGATCCTTATTTGGTATGTATATATTTAAGAAATTTGATTGTTCATGTATGTTGTCCCAAAAACATTGCAGTCACTGTAATTAGTAATTTCTCTACAGAGCAAATAATCAGCCTTATTTAATTTGTAGTATTGTTAGAATAGAAATAAAGTTTGTGTTGCTATGGATTACTCACGTTAACCTCTCAAGTCTTGAAATATTGTTTGAAATATACCATAGCGTTGACCTACATCTTAGTTTTTATATTCCCAAAGAAGAGTTCTCTAAAAGCAACATTTCGCAAACTCAAAAGTTATCCTGCAATATCCACAAAATTGCATACATTTTTCTTAATATGAATAAGTTAATACAGAGATACACAAAGAAATAGCTCAGATATCCTATTTTCCAGCTGCAGAGATCTCATTTTCATGTATATTTAAAAAAATGTTTAAAATGAAATGTTATGCTCCAAAATTTTATTCCTTGCTCTACAGTGACTATCAGAAATTTGAAGCTTAACTGAGATCTAATTTTAATCAGATTGTATACTTATATTTAGGAAGTTGTATTAATTTTGTGAGTTTAATTGATCTGTAGATCACACAGATTTGTCACAAAGGCATATTTTATCAAACATGCTAGGTTTTACAAAATGATTACAAATGCTTTATACAAGTATTTATGAACCATACATACAAAAATTCTCTGCAATTTTTTTTTTTTTTTTCAAATATCCATCATTTGAATTGAAGTGATGTTGACTGTCACTATGATCTCTCATTCTGGAAGGCATTAGTTTCATCATACTGAGGGTAAAGCTGTTTTAGCTCACCTTAACTGAGGCTTAAGCAAGCTGATCAAATTTTATCAATTGTCTGTTTTGGTCATTGTAAACTTTTCACATTTTCACCTTTTTTGTCTAGAACCATTTGGCAAATTTCAACTGGGTTTGGCACAAATTGTACTAGCTAGGGTAAAGGGAATTTTTTTTTCAAATAAAGGGTCAGAATCTCTTGAAATGTGACATAGTGTAGAATCAAATTCCTCACATCATGGCCCCAAAGGATAGGATGATCACCAAAGGTGATCATAGCTTTACTTGAGAATATTTGGTTATGGTAATATATTTTTTCACAAACCAGGTGGAAGAATAGTTATATTAATATGCATGCATTCCCACAATAGTGTAGGGCCATAATAGGATGTTATAGTTTTAATTAATCTCTGTCTAGTTTTTTGGCTATGCGAGGGCATCAACAATAGTTAGAAACGTGGGATAATTTGTATAACAGCAAAAGCCTGCTATGCATAAATTACCCCACGTTTCCAGCTATCCTAGATGTCCTTTATATACCTGATGAACTAGACAGTGATTCCTCATATTTCCATTTTATTGTCACAGTGAGATAAAATTGTAAATTTAGATTCAAAGAATGTTGTTTTAATAATACATTTAAATTGCACAAAGCCTCCCATGTCAATTTCAAAAGTCCCTGCCCACTGACGTCAGACACAAAGACAGCTGCACAAGATTTACATGCATATAAGGCCTTCTTAGCTCATGACACGAAATTTACATTCTAGTTGAATTATTAAGAAATCAACTCACCTCAAGTTCAAAGAGTTATCACAGAGAAAACAAATAGAAATTAAAATATACATATGTAGGAAAAAATCTTGCTTTTTATGGACAGAATATTGTCCAATTGTATAGGTTGGAGTATAAAAGAGACCCAAAGAAAGAAATCTTTTAAAATTTCTTCTAAAGAAGAGTATAACCATGATTAATTATATTAATATCCAAGCATCCCCAGGAAGGGTAGTTTCAAAGTTGTTCAAATTATGGATCTAGGGCTAAGGTGGGTCAAATTGTTCTGAGAAAATGAGTGCCAAGATTACTCAGGTGAGCATTGTCTCCCATGGACCTTGTTAAAAAATGTGTCTCAACAACTTTAACTAATTTTCACGAAAGTATATCATGAAATTTAAATATATAAGAAGAAAAAATAAGGTCATCGTTCTTTGTTAGCCTAGAAATAAAAGTCTTATATCCACCTACCACCCTCCTGACAAGGAAATAAAAAGTATACCTGAGGTGAAACAGACATTGTTGTTTTTAATTGTTCTACTCTGGATTTGTGTGGGTAGCAGGCACTGATATGACAATTTGACTATTCCTGTATTATCTTTAGATGTAACACAAATGTTTGCTGCATTTTCAGCAAATATGGAGTGATATTGATCAATCTGACTTGTACACAGGGATTCATCACACCCACATATATAGCAGTGATATTAAACTTTGTTAAAACAAACTGGGGCCAAATGACAAGAGAGTGCATCATTAACACATTTTTGTACAATTTACAAAAATATGGTGTCAAAATTATGTCACATTGATATCATAACTTCCTCATTTAAAAATAAATAAGGCCAAGCTTAAAAAATCCTTTGTTTGCAGTTGCCGGGCTATAGTTTTTAGACTGGGTAGGTAGGTAGGTATTCTTTGGGTTTTTTTGAAAAAAAAGTTGTTTTCAGATTTTTGTTGTATATCAAATAAAAGAACTTTTCATGGGCCTACTAAACATTAATAAGCTCTGCATTGACAACTCTTGTTATATCTAAAATCACTGATTGATAAAATTAAAAGTCAAAAATTGAAAATGAAACAGTTTCAATATCCTGAAAAATTGAAGAAGAAAAAAATAATTTACTAAATGGCTATAAAAAAGTTTGGGTCAGGTGCATTTTCAGTGGGTCGATAGGCAACTGCAAACAAACAAATTTTTATTTTATGCCTAACCCAGTATTTAAAAATTATTGGGATCAAGGGTAGACAATTGTTATAGGGGGGTGCATATATATGTTTTACACAGGAATCTATAGACTTTACCAAGTACAACACTATACATTGTACTTTGTGAAAATATGCAAGTATCAATAATGTCTTGTTTAATGGTCTTGTTTTTGAAATCTGTGAAGTTTGATTTGAACTATCATATTAAATATAAAATGTACATGTACCAGATTTTAACCCTAAAAACTAAATATTTTTTCATATCTTTATATATTTGTAAAATGATGGAAACCTATATGTATCCATTTTATCCATTCTAGCAGCTACCTTACATTATGATACATGTACTATGATTATTTGTGGAAGCTTAACACCTTAATGTCGATGTAACCATTAGTATATTGGAGATTAAACAAATTGTTTTTACTGAAGGAAAAACTTTATTAAATAGAAATACATGTATATTTGTATACTATTAGGTCTTATTAAGGTTTTCTATTGAAAGAAAGAATCATTAATTAAATATTTATTTGAAAAAGGGAAAAGCATAACTTCTGGTGAGCATTGTAGTCCTTGACACTAGTGATGACTAAGTAGGTAAGCTATCATAGAGGGTTGTAAATACTATTTCAGTAAATCCTGACCAGTCTATTTTTTCACATGATCTATATGGAATATCCACAATAAAGGATATCTTTTTATCAAACTATTTATTCATAACCTTTTATCTTTTGTTGTCTTCCCCTTTAAAGCAATGAAGATCCCTCACTGCTCAATAGTCCTGAGTGTGGGGTAAAGGTCGAAATTTGAAGCCCTTCACTGGTATATGGTAATGTCTCTGTATGATTGAAACTAATTCTCGAATGGGAATTAAAACAACATACAATCAATCAAATCAGACAAACAAAGTGCATGGTTGCACCTGTTCCAAAATTGTGAAATTCGTGGAATACCCCCTGGGCAAGATGTTGGGGCAGGAATAACTTGAACATGTAGTTAAAACACATTAATTCCTTGAAAAATCTTCTCTGCTCATAGGAATTAAGCAGTCAAACTGTTAAGTATAGGATTATAGTGTCCTCCAAGATTGTGAAATGAAGAATCCTGCATCAGAATTAACAGTGCTCTATTGATCATAAAATGGCAATGTACCATATAATCCCTATTAAACACCCCTGCCCCTATAAGTGCCCCTTAGGTCTTTTTCAATTGTCAGGAAATAAGGGCCCCCTGTACAGTGATTAAGATTATCTAGAAAGACTAGAATCGTATCAAAAGTTTGGAAAAATTTGAAGGAATTGAAAATGAAACTTGTTTATTATCCAATTTCTTGGTGGAAAATGATTCATTTAGCATACTTTGGGAGGATTATCTTCATTTAAAGTAAAGTTAGACATTATTTTGGAGATTCTTTGAATTTATTTTTTTTTTCTCAAAATAATTTTTGAAGTTAATTAATATATGATATTAAATATTACAAAGAGAATACCTAAATAACCGCCCCCTTTCCGCAATTTTCTAAGGGCCCGGGGCGGTTAATAGGGATTATATGGTATAAATTCTCCAAAAGTCCTCTCTTCTAGGCAAAATCTAGGAGGTAAACAGAATACAAATTTGAAATGATCCAACAGCCGGCTTTTTATTACCAGAAATTCTTCACCATTGGCTTGGCAGGTTTTTATTGATCTGTTTAGCACTCTCCTTTTAGAGAAACTATTATAAACTATTATATGCTCAAGCATTGTGTTGTGTTGTATACTTTGGTGATGGTGACAATAGAAAGTGTCATTTGCATCTGCACATATTTCTTATTTTTATGAGTTGTTGCTAAGTTGCAGGCTATTTTGCTCATCCCTGGTTGTCCTTTTTCTCTCTTGGTTTTGTGCAAAATATCTTTATCTATCAGTTTATTTTGTTTTTATTATACATATACTTAAAAAAATCCATTTCTGTAGATCCTCTAAAGGATTGTATTATATTAAGGTGACTGTAAGTTCCTTGGTCCTTTTGTTGTTTTTTTTAATTGTAAGAAATCTGCCACATACTGCACTTTAACTATTTATTTTAGTCTTCAGGCTGGACAATACACTATTATCTGAATTTCAAGGCTGTCTTGTAGAATCATTTAAATGTTTTAATGATCATTAAACAGTATATAACCTTTTACATGTAATTATAATCAAGAAGATTTATGAAATTACATACTGGTAATGTCTGCATAAAAGGAAAATAAAAAGAGAGAGTAGGCTATTATAGCTTTAATTAAAGTGATTTACATAAGATATAATTTTCTTTTAAGTACATGGGGAATTTTTTCTGGAAAAGGATAGGAAGCATTTTTTTTGAGAAAGGTCTTTGTCTGCTTTGTCTGGTGTTCTTTATATTATGTCTGGTTATTATGGTATAGTAAAACTTGGTTATTATGAAGTCACTGGGACCTATGTAATTGCTTTGCTATATCCACAATTCATAATATCCATTATCGTATAAGGAATTCGTAAAATTTATATAGCTGGGTGGGGTGGGGTGGGGTAGGCCCAGCCCTTCCTGGTTCCGACACTTATGCCAGAATACTACAGTTCTGTATCATAATTACAGCTGCATCACACAAAATATCACTTTTCAAAAAATTTTGAAAGACGTCGAATGTTCATTTATGTTCATGATTTACAATTTTCTGTAGTAATAATTAAACTGTAGATCTGCAGCTTCATCTCAGTAGATATTGATTTATCCTTTAATTAAAGTTTACTGGTCAGTGGAGAACTAAAATTGGGTCATAAAAATTAAGTTATTAAGATATCTAAGATTTATTAGCGGTGTTTTAAAATTTCCATTAATTGAAAGATGCAGCTTCCTCTTGATTGTGAGGAGTTGACAAGTGTATCTGATTATTTCATGATGAATACAGAAAAATCAATAAATATTGATTTTTTTACATAAATTTTCATTTCATGCACTAGGTGCTGCAGGCACCTGTAGGACCTGATGTTTTGATATACTAATATGTTTTTTAATCTACTTACAAACTGAAACATCATTCAGATTATGTATTTTTCTGCATTCTGCTATAAAAAGTCTGATTCCACTAGATGCTGTCTGACATGCTTATTAAGAGATTGTAAACAGCATGATGATTATGAAGATCAATGCTTTCTCATTCCTGTTTATGTAATTTGATTGTTTGTCAAGGGCAGTTAGATTTTCTTTTCTCTGTACAGTGAAGCACGTACACTAATATAATGAAGTGCCAGGGACAGATGGTTTTTCTTCTAGGCACTAAATTACAGGCATAATTTTTTATATCCTTTTTGTTTACAGTATATTTTAAAGTCATGGGTATTAAAGAATCACTGTAAGCATCAATTCATTATAAGTGTGTTCACTATAAGCATGTTTTACTGTACATGTGTATGTAGAATTTCTTTTCACTTCAGACTGTTACTATCCTCATTAAATAGGCAAAAAAATCGAGTTGGAAGTGATGGTATTTATCAGTGAACTGAATACTGTAAATTAAAATCATATTTCTTATAGGGTCAATTTTTTACGATTTGAAGAAAAATTACGTGTTCAAGGGGATTTGCTTTCATGGTTTTAAAAGAACTAACATTTTGTACAAGCAACACATGAAATTTTTACATATCATGAAGATACCCGATATGAATTCTAAGGTCTTTTTATACCTAAAATTCTGAAAATTTGAAACCTCTCAAAATTTTGAAAACACAGTAAATAACAGACCTGACTATCATATCTAAATATTGATATGTTGTGTTTCCTGTTAAGTCTATCAAATATCTGTGATCATTTCTCGGACTTTTTTCCAATAACTTGGCATGATATCATGTTTCATCAACATGTATAGCCATGTCTCATGCCTTTTTATAGACAGTAAATTCATATATGTGTGTGCGTATGTGTCAAATTAAAATCATATTCCTGTATATTTCATGTAATACTCTCTTTATTCTAAGAATACTATATCTGTTAAAGTACATACAAACTCATGTTCTTGGTTTATCTGGATTTTGTTTGTACTTTATTCAAACAATCCTTTATAAATCTTAAGTATACCTCTCAAGGCCTATGAAATACTTAAAATTATAAACATTTTAATAATACACATAGTAATTAGGTGAACTTTGTTGTTTAAGTGCTTGCACAGTTAAACAAAGCTGAGGTTGCACCCCGAGCAGCACTGACATAACACAGTAGTCACGTGCGGAACAGTAACGAAGGTCTCTGTGGTTCTACCACTCACTTCTGGAGGAAGTCTGCACCCAGCCAGGGAATCAACTTGTCATTCATTCAGTGCAGGCAGTCTTACACGGAAAAATATTTATATCCTATCAAAAACATTGTTTATTCACTCAGAAGACATAATAGGCACCAATCTTTGGCCTCCTTTCAGTGGTATTATTGTATAAAAAAAAACAACAAATGTCTGTTTGGTTTTTTTTTAATCTTTTAGAGTGATTTTTCAAGCTCAGTTGCCCACTTCTAAAATATAGTCCACATTTAATCTTGCAGGCTGTATTTAGTTTAAACTCTGCTGGTCACAGACTATTAGAAAGTTATGTGTTAGTAAGGTGTCTGTCATCAGTTGTTTGTCTGTCTGTAAACAATAATTATTGTTCAAAATGTTACTCCTGCTATAGTTTTGGTTCAATTCAAATAAGACTTTATGCACTAGAACTTTATATGGATTAAGATACATACATAATTCTGAATATTGGTTTTTGATTTGCCATGGTTAAAAAACCAGTGGAGCTACATTCTCATTAGAGAATTCTGGTTACATAATCAACTCAGTGTGTCCAACGAAGATCTGACATAAATACCGGGGGGGTATTTTCTTTTGTTTTTCACAAATTATATTACTTTTAATCTGATAATGATAAATTGTGTGAATTTTTCAGCATTAAATTACAGTATAACTCAATTTCATTTTCTGGTGTTATGGTCCTGACTACTTCTGCACAGATGGACATATAATTTTTTTCAGAGTCTGTATTTTGAATTGTGGTGACTTTGGATGATCACTTCTATATCTTAGCATAACCCCCACCCCCCCAACCCCGTAAATGTGTGGGACTTTAAACACTTACATGTACCCCTTCTTTCACAACATAATTCACAGATACTAGGGGTACTATTTCTTGTTACTTTATGTATAATACTAAAGTTGTAATTAGTTTGTTTTATGCAGTTTTCTTTACAAGATGTGGCCAAATATCTGTTGTATAATGTGTGTTGTGAATATCATCAGTTATCTTGTAAAAAATTTTTCATTCAAAAATTCGTTTTTAACAGCTACCCCCACAGAAGGAGCTGAGGAGTCCATACAAATCCATTCCAGGCCCTGGTAAAGGTGAGGTACCGGTCCCCTCTAGTTACTGGGACGCTGCTCAGATCCTACAGCAGGTGAAGGAGAACAGAGTCACACTGGAGGCCAACCTCGAAGCTGTGTTTAGGACGAGGCAGGAAGCTGAGGTCTATGCCTTGATGGAGAATCTGTACCAAGAGGGGTATGAGCACTGGAACTTTTCATTACTGGTAGTAGACAACTCCTTGTAGCTGAAACATAGCTAGCTTTTTGTTACCCATAGCAAGAAGCCTTCTTTAGCTGTAACATAGCCAACTTTTCATTACCCTTAGCAGAAAGCCTTTTATAGCTGTAACATAGCTGACTTTCCATTACCCATAGCAGTATTAGTCTCCTGTAGCTATTACACAGCTAGTTTTTCATTACCGAAAGCAGGAAGTCTTCTGTAGCTTTAACATAGCTAGCTTCTCATTACCCAAAGCAGGAAGCTTTCTGTATAAGCTATAACACAGCTAGCTTTTCATTATCCATAGCAGGAAACTTTCTGCAGCTTTGACATTAACCAATGATTGATTCATTATTTTCGGCCATATATCTCTTCCACACAAATTAATTAAGAGATCTTTAGTTTGGTAACATCTGCGATGTGTAATAAATCAGCCATATTAAGGTTGGTCCGTACTTTCAAAATTTTCTGTCAAACTAATAATTTTTTTAATTAAATATCTTAAATAACTCATAAACTAGCTAAAACACCAATAAAAAATACATCTTTGCAGGTTTATTTTTATACAACATGTCTCAGAGTACCTACCTCTTAAAATTGAACAGCCAAAAGTGAACATAAAGAAGTCTGATATCATATTTCATTTTGCTATGCACCAAATCACATCAAATTCATGTTAAATCTTGTGAAAATCAAAAATAATTAATATACCAGGAAAATATTTGAAATTTTCTCTGAAAAACATTTAAAAATTGATGTTGAATCTGTCCACGTCTATCAGAAAAAAATCTCAGAATCTCTTTATTTTTAAAAATCTCAAAATCTAAGTTGTTTATGTGCTATTTTTTCTTTAAAATTATAAAGAATTATATGTACGGTTCACAAAAAGGCATATTTTATTATTGTCGACCAGAAGAATTTAACAAAACAACCTTTTGAACTCGTATACCCCCTATTCGGAATATCAAATTTTTCAATTATTCTTGCATAATTTAAAAAAAGGGAAAATTTAAAAAGGAGACACATGCTTGAAATAGATGAAAAAAGATCTCTAGTTAGTTTGTAAAAAAAAAAGATAAAACGTTTTACATTGTTTTAGGTCTATAAAGAAAATTTATGCCTTTGTTTTTTAATTACATATAGATCCTATGAACAGAGTACAAAGTGATAATTTCCATAACAAATGTATATCAAATGTTTTGTATGCACAATAACACTGTAGTAAACAAATATATACTTGCTATATTATTATCAATCATCAAAAAAGATTTTTATTTCTTTTGACAAGTGATAATAAGAACTTAGTATTGATGTGTAAAATTAAAACCGGATCCGTAAAAGTATGGACCTTCCTTAATTTTAATTTAAATTCAAAAGTGAATTTTGATTTATTTTTGCATTGTTTTGCGCATGGCTTAAGAGTTATTAAATAAAGCAATTTATAGGCATTGCTTATTAGCACTTGATTGTTTTTGACATATGTACACCTCCAAGGAAAAATTAGAAAGAAGAGTTTATTTATAAACATGTATATATGAAATCTGTAGATGACACCTGTCAAGTCAATTTCTTCAAGTTGTTACAAACAGTGTAAAACGTTGATATTAATAAATATCCTGTTTTGACGAACTCAGCATTAGAACATTCACTTGATCAAAAATACACGACTTTGGTGCCATTTACCTTTAAAGGAGATGGGTGAACTTAGCGTGCAGAAAGCCTAATAGCTTCAAATATATAAAAATCATATTCAAATTTTGATATATAGAATAAAGATCTCATCATTGATTTTTATGAAATCATGAAAACAACAAGTTTGAGGAAATTTTTATATATATTCTTTTATATAAAAAAATTAATGTGGTATCCATTGGGTTCAAACCCTGGCAATAAAAATACTATATATGCATTCTAAATTCACGCTAACCTTTTACACAAGTCCTGATGAAGTGTGGCATTTAAATCATGGTTGTGATATGACCATTGACTTAAGGGACTTCAAGTATTTCGCAAAAGATACAAAAGTTATGTTAAAATTATATTTTTAAGGTATAGTTTAATTTTGGAAACCAAAATATGTATGTTTTTATGCAAACTTTGAGGATTACCTTTCAAAAAAATGCATCATAACGAAAAATAGTGTTATAGAGTGAAAAAATGACTCGTTTTGTCCTCTTTCGTGTGTGCATAATATTTCATAGGCGAATAACTTCAATCTTCGTGATTTATGCAAGTTGTAGAGATTTTACATAAAGTATACTTTAATGTTAGAAGAAATATTAAGGACAATTTTGATATAAATTATAATTGAGATTTAATTTTTCATCTTCATGTTTGTTGCGTTTTGGGCTTATCTCTCGTCATGTTCACCCATCTTTTATTACATGTAATGCCAGTAAGTCTGAAGGAGTTAATGTTCTTGAGCAAGAATCCTCATTTGTGTCTAGTAAAGTATTCTTATTAATTTGCCATTTTGAACAAAAATATCCAACAAATAATTAAATAATTCTAAATAAATATTACATCAACTATTATTTAAGTAATAATCATTGTTTTCATTTTTTATCAAAGGAATAATGCAGATATGCTGAGAATCAGGAAAATGGTGGACAAAAAGATAGCTCTTCTGCATTCCCAGGTGCAGGTCTGTATATGATATGTAAAGTTACATATATTTTGAAGGTAATATCAATGAATCACAAGAAATTAATGTATCTGTACAACCCAATACATATATATAAAATGACATGTTTAGAAAAAAACATTCTTATCTATATATACACATAAGAATGTCTTATCTATATATTGTAAATTCCTTATTTTAAGCGAGTACAAAATATATCGCGAAATGGCTTGTAGACAGCAAATCTCAAGAAAAATTATTCGCGAGTGGGTGGTTTTTATGAAATTTTACATGTACCGGGATTTTAGCATCATAAAAATAAAAGTGATTAACTTTATTTCTTCTCATATATTTAGGAATTTACAGTATATACACATATGTAATTGTAAAAATCAGCTGTCAGCTTATCTTGAGAAACTTGATTTATTTAAAAGTTGTGGTATATTTAGAGAGAAGTCAATGATGTGATTTTGGCAAAGAAAAAATCCCTCATATATTTCATACACCCAGTTTTAAAAATTTATCATTTTGTATATCTGTGAGAGGGAAAGAAAATAAACCATCAGCCACTACAGTGTTTAAACCACCCACTGCAAAGGTAATAGAAGAGATCATTTATCTGAGAATGTTTGCAATAGTGTAAATTAAATTAAGGGCCCAGGACTTTTTACACATAATCAGCTTCTTTCTTTGTGAAGATTGTATGTGTTTACATGACCAGAACAAAAGATGCATTTGATTTATAATTAGCAGTTGAGATTTGATAAAGGTGTCAGGGTTAGCCATTTATCTTTTTTTCTACAGTTTTGAAGAACTGGCCAGTATAATTCACCTGAGCATTGTCCAGAACTTGTTTTTTTTTTCAGCAGCCAAAGATAAAATCTGTCTTTGAGGATGAGGAATACATGACTAAAGTGTATGGGAAAGCCTCTTATCAAAACAAGAGAACTACAGTGAAAGATCCATACCTACATTACCAGAATGTACCCAAACCAAAGCCGGAGAGGCCAGCAGGGGCACCTGATATGACAAGTAAGTTGTAAATCAAGACAAATAAAGTTGGCTTAGAACTAATGGTAATAAACTGAATTTTACATGGAACTTCACTTCATAGATAGCAAAGGCCTTATAAAAATCAGTAAACATCTGTGAATGTACATTGGTTTTGATTTCATTTTGTTTTTTAAGCTGCTCATTTAGTCAAGTCTTCTAAGACCCAGACTTCCTCAGGGATAAAACAGTTCTACTTCAGTCCTACCCACGGTACATACATCCCTGTCACCTCCGCAGAACATGGTAAGTTTGTGAAATAAAATTAAATCAAGTGTAAACAACATTTTTTTTTCTCTGAAAATTTTTTGAATGTCATCATAATACTTTTTTCCTTGGTTCAAAATTTAGTATTTTTGAAAGTACTTGAAGATTTTCTGAAAGAAATACAACTGATAAATACAAACTTGTATTAATTTGTGACCAAATAAATTGTTTTAATCAGCTCCCATACCAGGGCAGTTGGTGCCCATGGCAGTTCCCCTTGGTGGCCCCCGCATAGACAGTGGACTAACCTACTCTGCCCCTCCCCCTCCTGGGCCCCTCACTACCTCCACCCCCTCCTCTCAGCCTCCAGTGTCAGCCCTCAGGAATGTGGCAGTCATATCTGTCCCTGTAGAAGATGACCTTAGGAAACCTCCAGAGCCGGAACTTAGCAAACAAGTACTGAAAAAAATGATTAATATTCTATACAAATGAAAAAGGGGAACAGGTAATATAAATGTGTACATGTGTTTCACCTAAAAACTATTTGTTTCAATGTATTTGAATTGCTGTGTGTTATTAATGAATGAAGAAAGAATAGTAAAATTTTTACTGAAAGTTAACAATGGTTTAACTCGGTATAAATTGTTACAGTAATAATAAAAATTAATTTGTCATATTTAAATTGCTTCATGATCATGAATATCCATCTGTATTTGTTTGTTTTGGTGTAAGGGTACACTACTCCATATGATTCTAAGCAAATGTAAACTAGACTTGTACCTGTGATATAATTTTTATTTAAACAGGTTCTACCGAGTGTAGATATAGACACTGACATATCTGAAACTTCACCGATTCCGAAATCTCGACCAAGATCTGCCTCCCCAGACAAGCCCCGATCCTTGTCCCCGGAGAAAGACACTGTGAGCCTGAGTCGAGCCTCCACCCAGCATGGGGAGGTACAGCTGAGGTCCCCCCAGAAGTCCCCCAGCAAAAGCAGGCTAGAGGTCACCTTCCACAGAGAGGACGAGGACGAGGTGTGAAGAACTTAGTATTATAGAGTTGTTAATTAGTATACATCCTGCTGATAGATTGTGTCATGTTGAATTTAAGGGGGCCGACTATAGTTTTATTGTGTGAAAACTACAATAGCGAAACTCTTCATTTTTATACCGTATAAAACTTACATTAACTTCAGTGTACATGCAAAGTTTGGGGGAAATCCTATTTATGAGAAAATACGGGTACAATTACTATAGGATTATATAGGAAAATGCCAATTTTTAGCACTTTAAAGCAAATTATACAAATACTACAATAGACATTTTGTTCAAACTATAATATTTGATTAGTAATACTATGTTATACAATATATGTAAGAAGCACAAAATTCTACCGTCTTTTTACCAGAGGGGGCATCTCAAAATGCAAAAAATTAGCAAATTTTACTATTGTTATAGAGTATTACAAAATATGACGTACACAATGGATTCACATGAAAACATAATAAAAATATTGGAGATATTCTCAAATTTCTATGATTTAAATTTCAAGAGTTATGTTTATTACTTTTTCTTTAATAATATTTTTATTTCCCCTCTCTCTAAGAGCTACAGATTACCATAACGTCAAAAGCACACTGCAACGACGTCAACCTACCTATCAATTGCAAAATCGGTTAAAAAATCAGTTATATCAAATTGTAATTACATTTTTATATCTACAATTTCTTAATTTTGTTTAATTTTAATAATTAAGCAAAAAAAATTGCATTAAAACAGTAAATACGCTTCATTTTACTATGATGCGCGAAATATTGCGCAATGGAAACTATAGTCGGCCCCCTTAAAATTAAAATGTTTTCTATATTTAATTCTTGTGATGTCAGTCTTTAAGGAATTTGGATGAATACATTTTTAATATTTCTTTTACCCCTACCACAGTCAATAGTGTGCTTTCAGAGCTTTAATTTAGAGAGACTATAATTGACTTTTAGCACAAGCATATAGATCACTTAATCCATGGTCTCTTTATTGGGTTGAGACTTGACTTATAATTAAGCTTCTTTGCTATAGGAGACCCTCACTGATGTTTCTGGAGACTTGAACCCAGAGGATGCCCCTGGTATCGCCCTTCCTGGGTACCACCCTCCCTCCCCAACCCCAGCTGAGGCCCGACAACCTGTGTTCCCCCAGCAGAGGCTGTTAGATTACAACGCCCCCATTGTGTCCGATGTTTTAGCAGAAGACATTAGAAGAAGGGATAATCTGGAGAAGAGAGCTGAGGAATGGTAAGTTAATATCGTAAGAGATGAGGAGTATTAATTTTCTTACATACATAATTTTCGTTACATATTTATAAATAAGATTTAGGATTGATAGTCCAGAGAAGCAGGAAAATCTCATCTTTTTTATCGAAGTAAAATTTCTCAGCCAAATGTATTTAATATTGTTAAAATATTAAATATTTATCACAAACAGCATAGTCTTTACAATGCTTCATCAAAACAATACAGAGTACCCGTATGTGATCTCATCAGACATTTACTGTACGTTTACAGGCTTCAGCAGGAGTTGCTGGCAAAGATGATTTCTGAGCTGTGTCCTACTGAGGAGGAAGAGGAGCTTCCTCCTGGTCTTCCTCATTTTGTGGATGAGGACTCCATACAGAGTGAAGTAGAGGACAAGGAACAGTCCATGTTTGGTCAGTGGACTTGATGTACATTTTTTAACGGAGATTAATTTCTCTATGAAAGCGACAACAGCTTTTCCCCAAAAATTTTCATCGAGTATTGAATGCATTCGAGATGTACAAGAGCTTAAAAAACTGTAATTTTCCACCCGCAGATTAAAGAGATATTTTCTTATTCTGTAAAATACATGTATGATTTTATGAAAATCAAAAATTTGTTGATGACACAGAATGAACATATTTTTTTTCTTTGCATATAATTTAAAAGAATCGTGGAATTTGATTCTTGAATTTTGTCTGAAAAATATACTTTAATGAGCCTTTCTTTGCTAGCTTGCAGCTTTTACCTATTTGTTTTTAGTGATGTTGATATGGAAAAAGCTTGAAATTTATTCCCAAGAGCAGAAACCACTTTAAAGGAGCTAAAAACTTACAATTTTGAATTTTCATTTTGGCTGTGGATGGAACCTATATTATATATTATAGAAAAAATAGAATAAATACTTGAAGTTGCAATGTATCATGCAGAAGTTTTAGAAAATTACCTGAATCTCTATGAGAGACACTACAGTTAAGTTCAACATAAACAAGAGCTTTACTTATTATTTGATAGTAATGGACTCGATTGGCAGAGCCGGCATGCAGTTATTTGTGGACGTTGGTCAGCCAGTGAACACTGACCTGGTCAACAGTTTGATACGCGAGGTCCTGGTGGAGAAAGTGGTCACTGTGCTGGGACAGCGACCATCAGACGAGAAGGAGGCGGAACAGAGAGTGGTTCCCAAGTTATCAGCCACTATAGACGAGGACAAAATGGGGACCACAGAACCATCACCAAGGGTCAGTACAGCGGTCATGTCTGTGTTTGACAGTATCTGAAGCTTTCATTCTTATAACATTGCAACTATGAATATGAAAGGAGTCCTCTGTGAAGCAGCTTTTCTTTAAAACTTCATATAACAGTTAAAAGAATGTTCATATTTAAATAAGGAATACACTCAGAAGTAGATTTTCTTGAGCATTCACTCATGCATATATCAATAAACATTTTCATCATCTTTTCATTGTAACATCTTTTAGTAAAACCTTTCATTAGGCCATATGAAATTAATCTTTAGTGAAAATGTCCCGCCCCGATGTTTTTTATTTTGATTTTTGGGTATTTTCATGTATTTTTATTCAGTAAGAATTTGCAAAGTTTAAGAGTTATCTCCCGTCTGTATTAAAAGTCGCGTGTCGCTATTTATAGCAAAAACACCATGTGAAGAATAGAAAAATTAAAAGCAGTTTAAATGTGTAAAAAGATAATTTTTATAGAAAGGCAGAGAATATAAACACATATAGATACCATCAGGCAGGAGCAAGTATGATTTTCCACCTGGTCAAGTTATATATAACATCTCCAGCTGTGTGACTTAGCTTTGAAATAAAAAAAAATCCTATTCAAGAGAAGGCCTAGATTTTTCATCTTTTTATATATAGATTTTGCAAAATAAGAAGTCACGCATACACAGTTTATTGGTATCTTCATTTTGTTCAGTGCCGTATAATGTGTAAATTTGTTAATTAACAATAAATATTTAACTTTTAAAGCAAAAATTTTCTTTTTTTAAAAGAATATGAAAAGAATTAAATCTATTCATATTTGCATTAAGGTAATAAAAAAAATGTATCCATTGTTTTGTTGATACTTAGGCCTATATATAAATTAACAATTATAAAAAATAAAAAATAAAATCCGACCAATTTTTTTGCAAATTAGGATGAGAATCTAAAGATTAATTTTACCTGGCCTTATTGTTTTTTTTGTACAGGAGTATTTGTATAGCCCAGACCAGATTGAGACACCTCAGCCTACCCCTAAGGCCACCCCCATAGCCTCTCCAATCAGAGTCGTATCTCCCCCGGTCACACCAGAGCTCTCCCCTCCAGCCTCCCCCAGGAGAGAGCCAGTGAGAGTAGAACCACCTCCACAACCTGTCAGACTCCGACCACAACAAGAGGCCGAGTCAGAAGCTTCAGAGTCTCTGGATCTCAGTGAGGAGCTCAGAATCCTCAGACGTACGTCTACTGTCAATAAAAAAGTTATCCTGTGTGTAAAATTTTTATCTGATTTTGGTGTAGTATATGAGATAATATTATAGATAAAATCTGATAAGGAATGTCTGATTATTTGATTATTTGTTATATGTAAGACTTTAATGAAAAGCATATATGGCAGAATGTAAATGGCATAGGTCACAGGACGTGTCATGTGTAGATGATAAATTTTTCATTCACAGAAAAATTGGTTGTTCCTGTGACTACTGAATCAGTAGCAGAGATGCATGAAATTGAGACCCCTGTACCGACCCCAGTCCCCGAAGAGGAACCCCCTCAAGAGATCAAGCCAATGTCCCCTCCCCCACCCACTCCAAGACCCGTGGAATCTCCCCCTAAGGTTAGTAGAGGTCGGAACTATTAACAGTGGGTGATGTGCTTTAATATTGTAATGCAGAAAGTTTTAAACACTTATGCTGAATGAAATATAAAATCATTGAATTGAATATAAAACTATATACTTCTTGAATTCAGGTTGTGGAACCTCCCCCAGTTGAGGTTAAACAAGTTGAATCTCCAAAGATAGTCCAGGAGGAGACTATTGTAAAGAAACCAGAGGTTACTGAGGAGACTGATAAAACTCCCCAGCCCTGGGGAAACCCAGAGTCCCCCCGCCCAGAGGAAAATCCAGAATACAGGAATGAAACAGAACCAGACCAACCTGAACCCATGTAAGTTGGCTAGCTACTAAGATTGGTTTTTTCTGTAGATGTTCATCAACATAGGTTTTTATCATTCTTGAAAAATTGTGCACACTTGTTTCATTTATACCCCCCCCCCCCAAAAAAAAAAAAGGAACATAGGTTTTTTTGTTCTTGAAAAATTGTGCCCCCTCCCCCCTGTATTCTTTGGAAAATTTATACAGATGTATTTTCAATGCCACAAATTCCTGATCAGAGTATCAAGAAGCTTTCTGATTATTTATGTTGTAGGATTATGCATCCATCAGAGAGCATGGTAACTCAGGAGGACAGAAGATCTCCATCTCCCAAGAGACAGAAATCCCCTGTCCGTCAGCCTAGCCCCACCCCTTCAGTGATGGAGAGTGTGTCAGAGTCGTCAATCTCAGACACCATTAACCAGAGCGTGTCAGAGGGACAGTGGCTCCTCAACAAGAGTGAGGGAGAAGTGGCAGACTTTCCTATAGATGAAGGTCTGTTGTTAGAACGCTTTTTTACTCCTCCATTTATAGGAGATCTTTTATGTCCGTTTCTTTTCTTAAAATTAACATTTTAAAACCACACATATGCTCCAGTAATTTTAAGTCCACTTCTAGAGGCTACATTTTGAATGCACTAAGAATCCTACAAGCAAGTGTTTCCAGAACAAATGATACTGCACTAGATTATGATTATGATTCTTACTGACTGTAGTTGATGTCTTATATTGTAGTAACAAGACAGCGGGCATTAGAGAAAGCTCTGAGGTTAAGAGCTGAACAGAGCATGGCAAGCACACTCAAAGATACCTCAGAAATTCCTGTAAGCATGGAAACATAACTTTCATATTCAGCTTTTTTTGGTTAAAATAAACAGCTAAAGGATCAGCATTATAAAGGGTAACATTTGCTTTTAAATTTGAAATAATAATGAGTAGAAAATAAAATTTTTACAACAGGATGAGTCGACAGAGTTTCCCATTAGTGAGGGAGAGTTCCAGTATAACCCAGCAATTGCTCCAGAGAAGGACCCAGTTCTGTTGTTACTGTCCAGACTCCAGCATGGTCCTATCCACCCCGGACAGCTGGACATGACATCAGCCCAGGTCTCTGATCTACTGGACTACACCGGCACTAGTGGTAAGTGAAATTCTGTATGTTAAAAAGGTATATAAATGTGTACTTTTTTTATCTCCTGTGTCATACAATTGTGTTTCCTTCTTTATCTGTGGTAGTCTGAAGAAGATTATTAAATAATTCTTTTATTAACCCTTCATTGCCACCACAACTTTTTGCATTAAATACTGATAAAAAGTTTTATGAATTGTTAACCATGGAAATATAAATTCAGTTCTGAAATATTCATGTAGGTGACCTCAGTATAAACCAGTTGAGAGCATCAGTTGACAGAAGTATGGGAGAAGTCCGGCCAAAGAAGCACCGCAGACAACATGCCTCTCCCGAAAGGCATTATGGGAAATATGCCTCCCCTGAAAGGGATTATGGGAAATATGACTATGGTAGACAACTAAGATCTCCTTCTCCTGACCAGACAGGGAGGCAGTCTCCAAGTAGAGGAAGAGTGTCACCTGGTTATCGTGAAACTTCTGGAAGAAAATCTCCCGGCAGAAGACAGGAATATGATGAGGGGGGAAGAAGATCTCCAAGCAGAGGAAGAGCCTCTCCAGAAAGAGGGTATGATGGGTATGAAAGACCTCACAGTCGAGGGAGAGATTCCCCTCATAGAGACAGGCAACAGAGGGATCAGCGAGACGGGCGATATTCTCCACAGCGGGATGGGCAATATTCTCCACAGCGAGATGGGCGATATTCTCCTGAGAGGGACCAGCGAGATGGACGATATTCTCCTGAGAGGGACCAGCAGGGCAGGCGATCTCCTCTCAGATCTAGCTTGGACAGTGGAAGAAAGTCTCCAATGAGAGTTTCATATGAAATGGGTGAGATCATTATGAAGCATTCCATTATTTTTTTAGCTCACAGTCCGTTGTCTGTCGTTGTTGTCGTCATCGTAGTCGTTGTCGTTGTAAACTTTTCACATTTTCATCTTCTTCTCAAGAACCACTGGGCCAATTTCAACCAAACTTGCTACAAAATATCCTTGGGTGAAGGGGATTCAAGTTTGTTCAAATGAAGGGCTTCGCCCTTTTCCATGGGGAGATAATTATGAATTAGAGAAAAATTAATGGCATTTTAAAAAAATCTTCTTCTCAAGAACCACTGGGCCAGGATCTCCTCTCAGATCTAGCTTGGACAAAATAGGAATATATAGGAAAAATCTTTAAAAATCTTCTTCTCAAGAACCACTGGGCCAGGAAAGATGAAACTCATGTGGAATCAAGATAGTGTAGATTCAAGTTTGTTCAAATCATGACCCCTGGGGCTAGGGTGGGGCCAAAATGGCCGACCACAGTTTTACATAGAATTACATGTATATAGAACAAATCTTTAAAAATCTTCTTCTCAAGAACCACTGGGCCAGGAAAGATGAAACTCATGTGGAATCATCCTCAGGTAGTGTAGATTTTTGTTCAAATCATGACCCCTGGGGCTAGGGTGGGGCCAAAATGGCCGACCAAAATTTTACATAAGGATATATAGGGAAACCTTTTAAAATCTTCTTTTCAATTACTTCAAAGCCATGATTAGTGATATTTTTCTATTTAAATGGAATCATCCTCAGGTAGTGTAGATTCTAATTTGTTCAAATCATGACCCCCTGGGGGGTTATTAAACTTTCAGTTCTGATCTGATATGTGCTTTTTATAATGTGCTCATCATTGAAATTTTTAAAAAAATGAAAAGATGTTATATTAAAGAGAACATCTACATAATCTACCATTAATGTAATTATTGTAGAATGCTTATTTTGGATATGCTACAACTGAATTAAGATAAAACAATTTATTATCAAATTACTAACGAAGCTTTTAATAATTAAAATGTTAAACTCTGATTTGTTTGAATCATTATGGATATTTGTAAAATTTGTCTCCCTTTCCATGTTCAGATTCTGAAGGCAGAGATGTAGAAAGATACATTGTGGAAGCTACAACCACCACAACCAAGAAAACAACAAGGACCCCTCCTCATGGTACCCCCAGTAAAAGGACCCCCACCAGAACCATGACCCCAGGGGGTGTGTCCCTAGGAGGCAGTCTGACCAGTGGACGAAAGTCTCCAGGTAAAATCATTTTACAAACCCAGAAAAGTATTATGTTTCCCAGGAAGAATTTCATGTGCATATGGAAACTACTCTTTCATAAGTGAATTTCTTGAAATTGTTCTGAGGCATTATAACTAAAAATTTCTCTTTACAGTAAAATCTGCCTTAAAGAAACCCCCACAAGCCACCAAATCCCCAGGATTACCAGATAAATCGGTAACCATGACTGGACCAAGGACATACCCAATGCCTGGGTCTGATGACCAGAGGGGCTCACAGAGTAAGATTTCTGATAGTTTGTCATGTAGACCATAGCTAGAGAGACTGATAGTTTGTCATGTAGACCATAGCTAGAGAGACTAACTCTCTTTGTATTGAACATTCAAGATTTACTGCTAACATAGATCAAAAACTGTTCATATAATCATGAATAAATGTAATCAGTATTTTTATACTATGAAGAATACATGTAACTACTACTTACATGTATATTTCAACTTTCTTTATCAGTTTTTATGACATAGCACACAATGGATTGTACATGTACCAATAGACAAAAAAAGATGTTTGTAGATCAGAACAGAGTTTTGCAAGATAAACCACAATAATTTAATCACATTTCAATAAATTTTAAAGTGTACACTGTAGGAGAGAATAAACAACACACACGAGGGAGATCAATAACCATTATTATGATTATCGATTGTTTTGTAGGTTTGAGTGACAAGGGAACGCGGGCCTTCACACCGGACCAGATGAACATGGAGGAACTGTTACAGTCAGGCTATCTCTCCCAGACCTTCAGTCAGTCCTCCGCAGGGAGAGTTCCCTCCCCTGAGCATCCCCACAGACAACTCAGCCCCACCCGTCTCAGCAGGGACAAGAAATCTCTGGGGATGACTTATTCATTCGAATCAGAAGGAGGTGCTGCGGACTCGTTCAGCGAATCAGAACTCCGACGACTCGCAGATTCTGATTCGCTGAAGATGTCTGTGACCTTGCCCTCCATGGATGATTCTGAATTTCTCTAATTTCTAGGATCTGAATAGATATTTATAAAAGTATATATTAGAATGCAAATTGCTTATTATGTAGTGTATTATGTCTTATACCGTTCGAGAGTCACAACTCACAATATTTATATTTTTTTGTATATCATCATAATTTATTGATTTTACAATATTGCAGTGTACTTTTATTTATTCAGTATATATTTTAGAAAGTAAACTTGTATATTAAATGCAGATAAATCTCATTATATATTGGTATAAAAATCCAGATCTGATCAAATCACTCAGATTTCTTGTGATGTGTGTAAATCATTATCCGTCCAGACTGTAGAATTTGTTGATTTGTGTGTGTGTGTGTGTGTGTGTGTGTGTGTGTGTGTTTAGTATTGTGACTGGACAAAACAATTTAATTTTTAGTTTCTCTGGCACCACCACATCAGGTCAAACACTGCCGGACTGATAAATTTTATTGTATTGACAAAAGATTTATATTTTTTCAAGTTAATAAATTCGAGTTATGCCCCTTTTCAAATGATAGAAGTTTTTCTTGGGTACCGATTTTTAAATCTTTCTTTAATATGTGTGTGGTTTTTTTTGTTTTTTTTGGTAAAACAATGTTTTGAAAAATATTTGTTGAAGTTAAGTATATATGATTTTTAATATAAGAGTGGAAGAATATAAGGATCTGTTATTATCATTTTGTTGACTGAAAGAGAAAGAGATTCTGCTTCACAACAAAAAAAAATTAAGGTGTCTGTAACATGAATTTTTACAATTTTTGTCTGAGAAATTAGTGATCTTTTTTTTTCCCCCTTTTTTTTTTGTTTTTGGTAGATTCTTATGTAGTGTTAAGAAATGTACATCATAAAACATTTAATGTATCGCTAAAAGTGATTTAGGAGGAAGAAATGGAAAGTACACAATTGAATTGAATATTATTTCAATAGTTTCATAAAATTGTTAATAAAGATAGCTGATTATCCTGAGCATCATCAATTGGAAATTAACTGTGAATTCTTCAAAAAATCTAATGACTTGTAAATTTCCAACAGTCCTTTCGTATGCAAGATAATGAAGTTTGCATATGATAGTGTTTTAATTGATTTCTAACGTTATCATTATTATTTGACCTCTTCTGTCTTAATTCAGCTAGACATGTAGGTGAAAGATATCTCAGTAAAATTAGTTATATAAAGTTACTATCCTGTAGAACAGTGTACTAGTTGTTCTTTGGACTATTTATAATAGATATACAGTTATATCTTATATCGGCTTATTTTTACAATATCTCTAGCCTCATTCAGATATTCATCTTGGGAGATAAACCAGAAGGGGGAAAATGAACTTGTAAAGGTTACTTTCCTAAGCTGTTTATTTGGAAGAAAGCAAATAATTGTCATCAGCTGCAAAGTTTAATTTGAACAACATTTTAAAGTTCAAAACAACATGTTGATTTCACTCTACCTACAAGACCTTTACACCTTGCCACTTGGTGATTTTTGTACGTACATTGGACAGTTGTTATAAACATCCAGAACTACGTGTATACACATGGACCTGTCCTTGATGTGTCATATTTTCTGTGCATTTAAGTAAAACAGGAAGGGGAAAATATATTCTTCGATCAGAAAAGGTTTTGAAGTAATGCCCACAACTCTAATTACTAGCTGATATGCTCTACCAATGGACTATCTAGGTACCAAGTAAACAAGCCTGTCTGACTATTACATGTATTTAAAGCATACAAACCTTCTTAGGCATTAGAGCTTCTAAACCTCCTGTATTCAATATGGTACATTAACCAAATCAAGATGTGTTTTTGAAACACTGAAGCCCCTATATGACAGCTTTTGGTGAAGGTTGGAATTTCTCAAATACATGTCAAAGTCCAAGGTCAAAGGATGAAAAAATATTGTTACCTTTCCTTTCTTTGGGACTTGTTCTCAGTGAGTACCTGTGATATTTGAATGTCCAAGCACTTACCATTAAAAGGTTATAGTCTTTTGAATGTGTGTCAAACTTCAAGGTCAAATTAAACAAAAACAGGAGAAGGCCATCGTCAAAGAAAATATTAAAGTTCTAGCACCAACTGTTTAAAAGTTATGGCTTAGGTTAAAGCTTTTCAAAGTAGGTCAAATGCCAAGGTCAAAATTACTGGTATTCAAAAGAAGACCTTGCCACGTGGAATACACTTATGAAATACATATTACTAACTGTTAACAGTTTTCTCCAGATTAAAGTTTTTCAAAAGTGAAACAATTAAAAAGGTCGAGGTTAAAAGGTCAGAAATATTAATATCATGCACAGAAAGGTGTTATCACAATGATTACACTTGTGAAGTATGACATGGTTAAAGTTAGGTTAATTCTTTCAAAATTGGGTTGGACTCAAGGTCAAAAGGAAATATGTTGGTACCCAGAGAAAGGCATTGTCATGAGAAAAAAAAGTGTGAAATATTAGAGTCATGGATCTAATCAATTAAAAGATGTGAGCAGTAAAGTTTAGTAGACAAACTAAAGGGCAAAATAATGTATGCAACACCTCTCTTTCTCTTATATTTTGTTCATGTTAGGAACAGGAAAAGCAAGATTTGTCAGTGAAACAACCATACCCCAGTATGGCAGCTTATGGACAGGATTGAAGTTTCTCTACTGCAAGTAAAACTCCAAAGGTCAAGGACAAAATATCTACTTTGTTGGTATCCAAAGGAGGGTCTTGTCACAAGGAATACATCTGTGAAATATGAAAGCCCTACAGCTAACTGTCAAAGGATATGGCCAAGGTTAAAGTTTTCAAAAAGTGGTCAAACTCCAAGGTCAAAAATCTTTATACTCATCGAAAGGGACAGGGTCTTGCAACAAACGTGTGACGTATGAAAGCTCTAACACCAACTGTCAAACTCCAAGGTCAAGAGGTCAGTTTTTAATGGTACCCAAAGAAAGGTCTTGTCATGCACAAGGGATATATTTTCGATTTATAAAATCCATATCCTTACCCAGTCAAAAGTTACGGGCAAACAGACTGACGGATATGACAACAACTATATACCCCAAAAACTTCGATCATGAGGGCATAAAATACGAAAGTCCTCTTATTTAATTATTATATACCTCCTAATTATTAAAAAGCAGGTTTGAAAAACGTGTGCTTTCCTCGGACTGTTGCTACCTTACTCAATAAGTTTCCGGGAAAATATGACTCTGCCCCTTCCATCTAATTCAAACAAAGTTTGTGGTAATCTTGGGAAAGTTGGATTGTTGGGCAGATACTGGTCAAGTATGTCAATGTAAAGCTCTATACACAAAAGTGCAAGCACAATCCTATAATTTTTTTAAAGGTGTCCCTTCTGGCCCCAGCCCTCTCTCTACCCATTTTTAATGTCATCACTTTCCATCTGGCCCACGTTAAAATGTTGAAGGACAATAGAACAACCTGGACACGTTCTTGTACTTCACGATACAAGTGACCTTGGAAATACTTATCTGCAAGGCTGTGTGGTTTGCACAAATATTTATTGATAAATTGATATCAGCGCCTGTCACTGTCTGGATGTAGATGTGGGTTTGTCAGCATTTTTTAAACTGATGAGTGATTAACGAATTGTCTGTATAAAAGTTCACTGACTACCCCATAACCTCCGCTTTTAAATTAATGCACAAAACAGAGCTAGGGATGTAGGTTTGAGTGCTGGCTGCGAATTTGCTGGTTTTCAGTTTCTAAAGGGTGGGCATGAGAAGCTCACTCACCTAAATTTTCTTTGGGTCGTAAAATGCAATTGATAAAATTTTCAAGATTTTTATCGCTTGAGCTCACCTGAGCTGAAAGCTCAAGCCTGGGTGAGTTTTTCTGATCATCCGCTATCCGTCGTTCGTCTGTCAGTCCGTCTGTAATCTATTCACATTTTCAAATTCTTCTCAAGAACCACAGGACCAATTTTAACTAAAATTGGTAGAAATCATCCTTGGTAAAAAAGGAAGTTTAAATCGTTTAAAAGAAAAATAAAAAGACAATTAAGTCTCCTTCAAACGGCAGGTAATCATGAAAAGACGAGAATAGGGTTGGGTCATTAAAAGAATCTTCTCAAAAACCACTGAACCAGAAAATGTCATTCTAGTATGGAAACATCCTTGGTCTAATGTAAATTTAAAATTTCTCAAATTATGACCACGGTGGTAAGCTGGGGGAAACAAATAGTTTGCAAATTTAATATTGAAATCAACAGTTTTTCTTTTTTTATTTTCTTCTCCAGAACCACTGGGCCAGAAAAAACTGAAACTTATGTGGAAGCGTCGTTAATGAAAATTGACAAATTCAAAAAATTAGAATATTGAAATATTTTCAGAAAGGAGCATATATAGAAAGTTTATTTTTCAAATTATTCAAATCATGACCCCAGGGATATGATGGGGCCATAACAAGTATTACAGGGGGGTCTGGTTAAAAACACCAGGGCCAGTTACTCAGGTGAGTGTTGTGACCAATTGGCCTCTTGTTTCTTTTACGTGGTAGTAAAAAATAATATCCCTCTTCTCATCCTGTGCCCTGACACCTTAGCAATGAACAGCTATAATATTTACAAAACAGCAATAGGCAACTACCAACAAATATTCGGAGAGTATTGCATTAGCAAGACTATGGTTTGTCATCTGGTTCACTTTAAAAATTGAAAATGTTAAAATTCCGTAAAAAATCATTAAAGCGGAACGAAATGCAGATACACTCACATACCAAAAATCAGCTTAATGTCAGTAAGCTTTAAGTGTGGAAAACCAAATGAGACAGACAGAGGTACAGGCAGACGCTGACGAAACCTATAGTCCCCTTCGGTTTGACTGGTAGGGGACTGAAAAACAACCGACATATTCAAAAGTCTGAGACAGTACAATGACTTTTTTCCGGGATTTCCATTTTACAGTGTACATGTACCAGTAGGCACCCAATTCGAAGACAACTGTATTGAATTTAAAGTATTAGGTTATTAATCTGCATTAACAGAAAACTAACGTTTTATCAATTTAATCGTTAATGAAGCAGTAGGAGAGAAAATCTCACCAATCAGAATACAAAAATCGCTATAATTAATTAATGTCGCTACTTTGGGAAATACGAAGTTTTCATCTACGCAATAAAGAGGCGGAAACTGAGATATTTGTCTGATAAAACTCTAGATTCTACCAATAAAACGATTGACCCTATTTATTCTGGTAATCCCAAAATTATTCCCATGTAAATAAGACAAAATTGCGTTAAAATTGCGATACTAATATGGATATTTCCAACTACTGTAGTTAACATTGAATTACTGCGTAATATTTGAACAACTATTTTCCTTTCACGTGTTTACATCCCTTAAAGATACTT